GGAGTCAAAAATAAACATCAGAAATAAGAGTCACAAGGGTCAGGAATGAACATCAGAAATAAGAGTCGCAAGGGTCAGAAATAAGGTTCATTAATTAGGAAGGGTCATAATTAAGGTTTGGGCAAAATCATATGTCAATCACCAGAGAATCCGAATCTTCGCCTTATCTAGAATATCTAAATATTATATACCCAAGAATCACAGGATAGCGGACTTGGACTTCAGCACAACAGATGATCACCAAAGTTAAGTAACATCACGTAGGGTTCGGAATTGGATGGGTGACCACTCACCGATAATGTGATATTTTTTCTTTTTCTGCGTGTATAAATCGACTCTTATCATTGGGCGTGTTTTCCCATGACAATTAATGAGTTATTAATAATTGACCAATTGTTAATAATAATGACGTTAATAAATAATCACGTGAGTTTCTGATGGGTTGCAACCTACTTGTAACTTGTGAGGTAACTGCGTGACGTTTTCATGAGTTCCTTGTAGGTCGAAACCTATGTGAAACCGGTGACCATGTCGGTTGCACCGCATCGGTAACCGATGATAAACCGACGAAATTTCTACTCGGGTAGAGGATCTCCGTCAGAGACTGACGTCCATTAATGTTTCTGTAATTTCAACAGCGGAATAAATAAAAACATTGTGGAATTATTGAATACATTCGACAGAAAACTGGTGGAATATAACAGGTCGATTAATTTACTTCACTAATCTATGCATCCTTATTGACAATGACTGCCCGGAGATACTTATTGTAATCAATAATAAAGTGATGCAGAACTGCGGCTATATTGTTATACTACCAATGCGTCATTTCAAGAAAACATTCCAAGTCATAACAGAAATTTCATTAGATAGTACAACAGCCTCTATAATTGTGTTCGAATCTTATAGTTGCTACAGTTGTTAGTTTCTACCATTTCAGCTCAGAGTGATCTTTTATTATATATTGATGTTTATATTTATTTATTTAGTTATTTATTTCATGTTTGTATTTTCTGTTGCTAGAAAGCAAACAAGTGCACAATGGAATTTTTGCTTCCGAATGGAAGCATTGTAATCGGTCAAATTTAAGTTTTGGATTTTTTGTGTTATATGGACCCACTATGATCCAAAAATACACTAAAATGGTGTTGATTGACTTCGATTATAAACAGTATGAAGTGAATTTAAATGTATACTTATATGTTACATATTTTTTCGATACACAATTGAAGTCGTTTTGGGGTGTTTTGACCAAATTCACGGAATTTTGAGAAGAAAAAATTAAAAATAAAATAGATCTAGGGCGATAACCAACTTGTATAACGGCTCAAAATACTTGTTTTGATTATAAGAGTTACTGAAAAAACGTTTAGAAAAATAAAATTCAAATTCAATTCAAGTTTTTCATTTTTTTTTAATTATTGAAAAAAAATTACCCAAAATTTTTTTATAGATAATAGAAAATCGAAAATTGAAACATGTCATAAATAAAAATCGGCTGAATAGGACCCGAGTTATTGAAAAAAAAAAATGGAAAAACAAAGAAAAAATTATATCTTCGAAATGGGCCGTCGAAAAAATCTGAAAAAAATTCAGAGATAGTTTTTCTAGCTCCCCAATCGTAGAAAAAATCGTAATCAATTTCCAAGAAGGTAAGGGCCAGCCGTTGACTCATTTGGCATGCAATACCTCATATACATACATACATACAGACACCATCTAAAAATCGCATATCCGGACTTTTTAGATCATATTCAGTTACCTTAACACAATAAATTATAGATGTAAATTTGAGGGATTACAAAGCTTCCAATCGGAAGAAAAAACTCAGTTATTGGAAGCGTTTAACCCTAGATTGGTCACCCTACGAGGGAAACCACGTCGCGCATCGTTTTTCTTTAATTGCAATTGACTGGCTAACCGGAAAAATTCAAAAAAATTTGATTTTGTCAATTGAAGTGTCTAAAAAATTATAGTAGTTTTTGGAACTACATATTTCCCAAAATTCCTAAAGAAAACATATTATTTCGAACAGATGAATTATTTCTTCTCATGTTAAATGAAATTGACCATGACGCGACATTGCCGGAAACTCGCTAAACGCGCCCGGGCAGTGTAGAGTGAATTCGATAAGGCTAAAGCCTTTTCGTCACTGGGCCCGAAAATCGCGATATAACCGCGCGAAGCGGTTGGGCGTTTTTCGGGCCTAATGACAAAAAATATTGTTCGACACACGGCCATGGGAACTTTTCTAGCTCATATGATTACAGAACTCGCCTTTGGCTCGTCCTGTAACTCCATATTCGCCAGAAAAGTTCCTCATGGCCTAGTGTCGAAATGTACTAAAATAACACGGCGGCGAATGCCCGCGGAGGTGACCAAAGTCGCAGGGTCGCGTTTGGTGACCAGACTAGGGTTAAGAAATCGGACGGAGATGACGAGGTTCTCTGGTTTCAGTTCAATTTTTATCCAATAATAATGGCTATTTATTGGAAATGTGGGACTATCCCCATTCCATTGTTTTGAAAATAACAGTACATAAGCTTCTCTTATATAACTATCAAAAATTTTTGCTTCGAATTCTCCCCTGAAGCTACCTATCCCGGAAATGCTTACATAGACAACAAAAGGTCAATATTTAATACACGCTCCAATAAATTACTGTTCATGAGGTCTTTTAGTAATAAGTTCAAAAATAGAAAATCAGGGGTAATTATGATTTTTGATTTTTTCTTAATTTTGTTGTCGATTTTTTACACTGTAGTTAATATTTGTAGCGATAACATGACGGAAAGTAATATTTAAACAATCATTATTTTCGATCCTATTATTTGAGCATATTGAAGGGAAAAAAGAACACAAAAATGGGTTCAATTAATGTCTCCCAAGGTAAGTAGTTGAAAAATAACTGATGAAAATTAATGATCCTTGTGAAATACTGCTCTTTTGAATGAGAAAAACCAATAGATTATGTACAATAGTTTGTCCGTAAAACCTCCAGAAATATCTGCCGGTCTCCGAAAATAAATAAGAAAACGGTACCTGTCGAAAAGCGAGAGGATCCTGAGTATTTGACCTACTCCCTGAGGCTAAATATCATCGAGTGGAGCCTCGTAGATACGAGTCAAGTGGCATAGTGGGAGATCATCGAACGGTCAACGGTACCAGGCTCATATACACTGCCTTGATCTTCCTCTGTGCCCAAGGCCAGTGGACAAAAACATATTGGATAGAATGGGATCAAAGAAAAAGTAATTCACTCGGATATCATTCATAAGGGCAGATCCACGGCAAATCAGCAGGACAAAAAAGTGGATGGTGGGGATTTTCGTCTTATTTTTTTCCTGACAAGAATAATTGAAGAATATGGATAATTGAGAGCGTTATGATTTTTGGAAAATTGCTAGTTTTTGTCCAAAACAATTTTTTCTTCCAAATTAGCCCCAATATCTCTGCGGGGTTGCAAACTACCAAATCGCCCTTTGGCACACTCAAAGTACATGAAAACTCCTTCGAAATGAGACGTTACACATAACATTATCTTCAGTTGTACAAGGTTTGTACGAGAACACTTTTTTTTAAATCGTCAATTCCTCAAAAAGCTAATTTTTTAAAAATCTGAAATTTTCACCAAAAATTGTGAATAAAATGTTAGCGCCAATTAGAGTTTATCTTTCGCCGTAGTTCGGCGGTTATCAATTTTTTCATTAAGATAAGTATTCAAAATGACCGAACATCGCTATTATTCATGCACTTATCGCCCAAATAAGTGAACATTTGATTAAACATTAGCAAATGGTGGAGCTTAGACTCATTTTCCATTATTCATCTTCAGTATAATGTTTTGAGTGAAAATAGTATATTTCAGGACGAGTACCATGGGATTTTTCACTCGCGTGAAGCGAGGGCTGGCCATCACGCGAGTAAAATAATACACGCTGGCCAACCATGAAATCGTATGTTTCAATCAATGAATTTATTTATGTGACCAATTCGTAAGAAATTTCCGGAAAACTTTCCCATAATTTTAAAAATTCAATTTTCCCGGGTGATTCAACCATTAACAATTGACGCAGAATTATCTGCAGGAAGAGAAAAATTCAATAAAAATTAACAGAAAAAAAACGTAAAAATTACGATTCGAAACGTAATCCGCGAGCGAAGTAAAATTCAATAAAAAGTGTGAGTCGGACCTGAAATTTTACGAATCGTCACGTAAATTCTATCATTTGTTCCGTAAAAATTAACCACCCGTCTGATGACTCACCGCTGTGGGGACAAGTCGTTCCGTCATTTTTCGCCAACGATTGAGAAATTTTACGGAAGGGAGCGGAGAAATAATTTACCCGTTTCATAAAAATTGTTGAACGTTCAAGAATTTTTGATTTTAAAGGCATAATAAGTCGGGAAGTTTCTGTAAGATTTTACTTCTTCGGAAAGAATTACGTGTCAATTTCGTACTTTGTTCGGTCTCGAACCTGAGAATTCACTGAACGCTTCAGTTTTCTTCTCTTCCATTCCTATAAAAATTGCCGAAAAACGATTCCTCATTGCGGATTACGTGAATTGTTCCGTAATTTTTACTGAATATTTGTCTCCGTGTGTTACACAATTTCTTCTTCTTGATACCAATCTTAATAAATAAGAAGACTAAGAAAGAAAAGAATAAAATTGCTTCATGCTAATTCCAGCGAAGATTCCCCTAACAAAGATAAGTCTCTGATTTCTTCAATCTTTACTTCAATCGAAATTCAATCAATACGACTGTCAATTTCTCGTGAATATCATTAGCATCAGATGTCCTGGATGAATCAAACAGCCTAGATTCTTCAAGTCAGCAGGGCGTATAAGTGTGTCAAAGAAAGAGGCCTGATTGTTGTTATTAGCCAATCAGTGAGAGAAAGAAGGAAAGCGTACGTCCAGACGATTCAAGAAGTAGGGGAAAAGTGATCAGCCAGCATTCTCCGTTGCCACTAGCCCTGACATTGCGCGCGCGCATCGAAAACCGTCGACGACGATAATCGACCGCGTGCGTTTTTAGATTCGTCGGTGGTAGTGCACCAAGCTGTAGTGTATTGAGTTATATTCAGTAAACCGCTCTTGATGTTTTGAGTATTTTAATTAGCCTCTATCCAATGTAGATATGTGATAACTTCGCAGACTGTTACAATTTATTTGACTAATATTCATCCACTATTTCAAGTGCAATTATTAGATTTTTGTGGTGAAAAGCAGAGGAAAACTGATGCTCCTGACATGTAAGGAAATACTGTTATTATATTCCCATAATTTCTGGAGTTTTCATTATAAAATGGTCAGAAAGTGCCGAGTTATTCGGGCAATTACATTCGTATCGTGATGGCAAAGGTTTCTTCCGGGGTTTTATGTAAAGGGTAAGAAAAATACATCAATTGCAATTTTCGCGCCTCATAATGTGTCTTTTGTGAATATTCATTCAGTCATGCCAACAATAATCAGTATGGTGCTATCAATTTAGTTCTAGATTAGGAAAATTCGTCGTATTTTCATCGTAATTTTATAATAAAGGCGCAAAGTTTACGTGAAGCAATGAATCTTGGTAGGGATGAAAAAATTTTCTTCCGGGTTTTTGCAGTGAAGAAAAATGCGAGACTTCAATCGCCTTTGCTTATTAAAATTTATAATTTTTCAATTCTTATGTTATGTAATAAGTGCAGCAGAGTTGGAAAAACAGAAATCGATTGGATTTTTATTTTTTCTTCTTTCCGATGATTAGAATTTATAATGAGTGAGAATTGATGCATTTCTGAGATGCATTGATGTACCTTTGGATCAACAGCTGAGTCATAAAAATGATATAATTCTGTTAATATGTATGATGATGGAAAGAGATTTAATTTAATTTATTGAGATTAGATTATCTCTATAATTAAACAGTGATCATTTTATTCTTCCGTATTGTTTCGGTATGATTGAAGTGTGTATACCTGTTGTAAAGCAATTCAGTTACATTAAATCAATGGAATATGGTGTCGAACAGAAATAGTTTCAATTGAATCAGACTTGAGAAGGGCTTGGGAAAAAAAATTGAAAATTTTTGGCGAAAATTGCATGGACTTCCAGAAGCCGAGTTTTTTTGACTTCCGCAAAAACTAATCTTTCTGATAGGAAAAAACAAACATTTGCAACCGTTTCGACAAAATGAGATGAATAGATTTTTTCTTGACCATGGGCTCCTGTGGGATTTTTTTTATGGTAGCGGCAAATTTAAGCTGCCGCTGGCAAACAGTGGAAATATTTACAACTTTGAATTGCATAAAATCCGAGGTTAGTGCTTACATTCGTAAAATGATAAAATTATCTATTTGGTTAGGAAGATAACTTATGTAGCAGTCGAACAAAAAATCAAGAATTTTTCGAGTGTTTGCGGCTTGGGATAAATATCCTAAAACAAATTAGTAGGTGTCGCTGATCTGAAAAAGACATGAGTTTAAATTTTTCATTGAAATATAAGATCTGCTCAACGAATGGCTCTACAACTGATAGATCTAGATAAAAATAATTGAAGACCTTTGTTATTGCTGAATGAAAATTCTGATAAAACATTTGTTATCTATTTTTTTGTTGGTGGGAAAATATGATAAATCATTTAATAAATATCCCAGAAACGAGTTTTTTCGTAGATAATTCGTGAAAGACATTCTCTTTTTTTATGTAGAAAGAGTTGATATAAATTGTTGGGCCCTATGTGCAATAAAATAACTATATGTTAATTCTTTTTTTGATGTTCCCAAACTGATCTGATATTTCATTTCGATTTATCTTCGATGTTTTACCGTTTACTTAAAAATTAAAATGCAACGCAGGAAATGTTTTGAATTTCCTTCATTCGACATGAACCTAACACAAAGTTTTCATGATTTTCATTAATTTTCATTTGTATAAGCGCGTCAACGGACCTCGCAGGTCGTCGGAGAACTTCGGCTGAGTGTTGACGACAGCTTCTAGTGATAACATTTATCGCACCGTAAGCACTTGAACCCCAACGTACGTCCCTCAGTCGTTGACGAGTTATACAACTCTAAACATCAGAAGTAATATCAAACTACCAATTACAGAATATTTGATTCCCTGAGAGGGCCGAAAGTTGATTGAATTAATTAATTGGAAATCCTGAATTCTTTAGAATGGCTCTGACGTGCTGGGAGAAGCTAGCAGTGGTGGTTGTTGCAGCTGTGGGTTTGAGGATTATCGTCAGATTGACGGTCTTCACCTGGAAGAAATTGATAGGGCCTTCTCTGGGTTGTGGAATCGACCTTGCGACCCAGGGGAGATGGGCAGTGGTAACTGGAGCTACTGATGGCCTTGGCAAAGCTTTCGCACAGGCCCTTGCTGCCAAGGGACTTGACATTGTACTGGTCTCTAGATCTCTGCCAAAACTAGAGAGTGTTGCTAAAGAAATTAAGGAACAGTACAAAGTGGAGACAAGGATTGTCGAGGCCGATCTCACCGAAGGACAACCTGTCTATGCAAAAATCGCTAAGACCATTGAGGAACTTGAGGTAATGATTTTTATTTGTCTTGAAGAAATTGACGAGGGATTTTGGGCAAATATTCTATGAGCCATCTGGTGGTTGCACAGATCGTACGAACCCCGTTCGTTGTGCCGTCAGTACAGCATCACATAGTAAAAATTAGTATAACAATGGATGGAAAATATCTAAAAAAATAAAAAATCAACTTCGGGTAATCATCGATAAAACACTGCCCATACTGCGACTGCAAATATTATTGTTCATTATTTATTCCGTTTCAAAGTTGAGTAGTTTTTTCAAAATGAAATCTAGCGCTCCGTCGCTTCCTAACACGAGATGGCCCATTGAATCTCCACATAAAAATTTCTATATTCCATTACAAATAGAGGAGAGTGGGGCAAAATGAAACAGTCGAAAAATGACTATTTGACGCAATTCAAGCAAACAATTTTTTTTGTTATATATTTTTTGTATTAACTTTTGTTTGTTAATTCTTGAGAGTATTAAGGAGAATAATAATTTTCCATTCTGTAGAATGAAAAGTTATTGAGAAGTTTTGATGGGAGATTTTGTCCATGGATTAATTGAAAACAAAACGAGACAGCAAAATCCGAAGTCCAGAGGGATGCCCAGGGGAAGACCCAGAGGGGGAAAAAGGAAAATATGAGGCTGAATTTCAATCGAATGAAAGAAGAAAAGTGTAATCGCCCTAATCTAATCAATTGAATTATAAGACGAATATAAAATTATTATTCTCATCAGTACTTCCAATAATAAAGAAAGTTGATAAAAAAAAAGTTAACAAAAAAAATTTTTTTTGCTTGAATTGCGTTGGACAGATATTTTTTGATTGTTTCATTTTGCCCCACTAATAATTATGAATAAATATTATCCTATGGCATTCAAGAAATGCCCTTTTAAAAAATCCGTTGTAACGATTTTTCAAGCGTCTATTCCGCTGATCAAGTAATGTAATATGATGTCTATGTATATTTTTTTATGTACTGTAATTTTTTGTTTACAGTAATTGTAAAAAAAAAGAAATTCATTTCTTACTGTAATAAAAAAATACATATATAACATAGTATATATGTATATATTTTATAATATATTCTATATACAGTATGTAATCTATGCTATATATACTGTATGCATATATATTTTTCTATATTGTAATTTTTTTCAATTATTGAAAAGTTAATATGGTTCTGTAAAAAATATATATAGGATAGTATATATGTATATAGTACATAATAAATTCCTAATCCCTAAAAATAATAAAGAACGAAAAAGCAAAAGAGAAACAAAGAAGAAAATGAAGAGGATTATGACGATGCCGAATAATTAATTCAACAATTAAATTCTCATTGTGAAAAACTTTGTTGAAACCATTCATGTTTCCTGCATTATTATTGAGATAAAAATTAATGAAAGTGAGAAACGTAGGGTGACAAAGTAAGGTTTTAGTATTCTGGCACCCATGGAAAGCAATACGCGAGCGAAGCGGCCGCCCTGTTCTAGTTGTAAGAAATGCAGCACCACGATCATATAGTGCAACCCACGGAGTGATCCCACTGAAGTATTGATGAAATGAAAAATGAATACATATATAAGTATTTCCCATTGATTTCTCTATTTTTTCAGGTGGGTGTACTAGTGAATAATGCAGGAACGAGCTACGATCACCCAGAAATTTTCACAAACGTGACAGAGGAGACAATTGCAAGGATATTGCAGTTGAACGTAGCTGGTGTAACTGGAGTAGCTCGAGCAGTGTTCCCAGGAATGATGGAGAGAAGGAAAGGAGTAATAATTAATATCAGCTCGACAGCAGCGGCCATCCCAAGCCCCTACCTATCGGTTTACGCAGCGAGTAAAGCATTCGTGGATAAACTCAGTGCAGACCTTGCTGCTGAGGGTAAACCTAGAGGCGTTACTGTGCAGTGTGTCCTCCCGGGTCCTGTGGCCACAAAAATGTCAAAAATCAAGTGAGTTGGAAATCATTCTACAATATTGGATTGTTTGAAGAGATCTCAGCACTTCTACTTTTCTTCCCGGTCCAGGAAATTCTTGTGATTGTCAACTTTGATTTGAATACAATATCATACAGGTTCATTGGATATTTGGGAATTAATTTGAACTTTATAAGTCGGTGACCTGTTTCCATGAAAGAATTTCGCTTTTCATTACATAAGTAATCGCAAAACTATTTCAGAACTTGAGTGCAGTTGAGTGACGTTTATAATTTCGTATAAATCAACTGGCTCCTTACCGATTGTTGATATTTTCCAGCCTACTCAGCAAAATAGAGTTCAGATATAACTGATTATCTCAGAATTTATTGAAATTTTCCCCGTATCTCGATTTCAGTACAGTTATCAAGTAATTTTATATGATGTCTATGTATATTTTTTATGTACTGTAGTCTTTTGTTTACAGTAATTATAAAAAAAGAGAAATTCGTTTCTTACTGTAATAAAACATATATTTCTGTAAAAAATATATATCCAATAGTATATGTGTATATTATAAAATATACACTATATATAGTACATAATACATATTATATATACTATACATATATTTTTTATACTGTAATTTTTTTAACAAAAACAAGAATGTAATACAGTTCTGTACTGTAAAAAAAATATATAGGATAGTATATACATATAGTACATAATATATCTCTAAAAATGAAAAAGCAAATGAGAAATGAAGAAAAAGATGAAGAGGATTATGACGATTCCAAATGAATTATTCTACAATTAAATTCTCCTTGTGAAAAAATTTGTTCAAACCATTCATTTTTTCTGCATTATTATTGAGATAAAAATTAATGAAAGTGAGAAACGGTAAAGTTTTACTAATCTGACGCCTCTTCATTAATTTTTTTTCCAATTACAGGAAAGCAACATGGATGGCTCCTAGTCCTGATAAATTCGTGGAGTCTTCATTAAAAACTGTAGGAATAGAATCGAGAACTACTGGATATCCTCCTCACTGTTTGATAATCGGTTTCGTCAACGGTCTTCGCTGTGTTTGTGAGAAAGGTGCCATTTGGCTAGTATCTAGAACAATGATGAATATTCGAGGTCGTGCACTACGACGAAAGAAGGAAAAAAGTGAAGTCGAGGAAGAAATTACTGAAATACCTAGAAGAGAAGAAATTCCGATTGAATAAGTAATTTATCACCAATGCTCAATTTTTTTTCGTTAAATCCTATGAATTTTATCTTCCGTATTAGTCATAACTGTACATTAATAAATTAAGTATTTTTATCTGACTATTAATGAAATTCCGAATAAAGTAACAACTATTCAGTAAATGAAGCTTAAATCAATGAACTTTGTGTTAACGAAAATGCTGTGTCACTGAAGTCGCCATCGCAGCAAATATAATGTCTACATTACAACTCCAGTGGTTTGTTTATTCATGAGAGCTCAATGCGACCGGACGTTGTTTTGGAGCAAGTGAGCGTCAACTGCTTAGATATTCACTGAATCGACACTTTCCTATATAAGTTGAATTTGCATTGATAATATTCGTGAATCTCCGATTTTTCTTTCATTGTTCGTGAGAAATTGTTGGCAATCATATAGTTATATTTAATAATGGTTAATTGAATACTAATATCTAGTCATTTTTATTGAAAACTTTAAGAAACAGTTCTCTTAATCAGTATGCCGTTAGGAACATAAACCAATGAGACATTAAAGAATTGTAATTTTGAGAGTATTACAGGCTTTATTTGCTTTCGCATACCAAAAAAATTGATGAAAAATTCTAGCGGTAATTGTATTAGAAAATTCTATTTGTGTATTCTGCCAATTTCAAGAAAATTATGAAACTTTCATGTGTGTTTTTCAATAGATATTTGTTAATAGAAAAGCGTACATATATGTTGATTTTTCCATATAGCTCATTCTATTGAGATTATTTCCATGAGAAGCCGTGAATAAGAATTCCCCAAGTTTTTTTTCTCGGATTTTATTATGAGAAACAAATAAAATTATAACAGAAAAAACTTACGCTTAAAAATTTCTGTGGAAGAATAGAAGCCTACTGTGTTTGTTCTACGAAATATCTCTTAACAAAATGACATGGAGAAATTGCATAATCTTTAATGGAATTCCAATGGAAATTCAACAGAATTCCTTGAAGAAAGCGCAAGGTTTTGCTGGAATTTTTTTTTCATACGTGTTTGAATATATTCATATATTTTTCAGCCATGTAGTATTTAAGGGGAGAATACTATAAGTTTTAAATGTCGCGGGCTACTGGAATGAGATTACTCATACATTGAAGATTGATTATATATATCAAAAAATGAAGAATGAGTACAAAAAAGTGAATAATTGCTATTATCTTCATATAGTGTAGTTATTTTTGCTCATGAATTAGTAATATGCTTCCGAATGGTCATCTTGTACATCATTTTTTTATTGCATATCAAATTTATCCTTTCACATTATTTCTCTGGAGATTTATGGAATACGTTACATCTACGATATAGCGTAGATGTTCCGTAGATGTGCGTAGATGTGGATTTGTAGGCCTGAAAAGCATGAAAATGATCGAAATAAAGTAGAATAATGATTGGGAAGTTAATTATCAGAAGATTAGTGTCAGTTATCAATCATTAATTGAGTTTTTTTGATGAATTTGAAGAAATTACTGCTAGTGTACTTAGGGTCGGTTTGTTCATGTACCGTTTGCGCTAAAGGTCCGTTTAGCAAACGGACGATTGACTCTTCTTCTTCTTCTTCTTCCTTGTGCTGCTCTCGCAGCTGGTCTGTGTAATACCGGAAGTAACTCAGCCAATTTCGTGTTATACTCTTACGAGTGTGTTTTTGTCGCTACTTGTGTTAGTGGGCGGGGTTTTTCAAATGTCCAGATTGGAGTGCGTGAGGTCTATAATTTCATTGATGTCGTAAATAAATTCTGCTATTCTTTGTAGTAATTCCGTGTCTTGGGAGAAAGAAAGACTTCTAATTTCCCATGGAGGATTGATCTTCTTCTCTGTTTGTATGAATTGTTTGAGTTTTTCTGCTTCTATTTTTGTGAGGTCGCATGACCAAAATATGTGGTTAAGGTCTTGAGTGTCATGTCCACATGGGCAGCTGCTGTCCTCTTTTTTTTTTATTTTCCATAGGTAGTAACCTGTGCATATATGGTCAGCTCTTATTCTATTGATTAATGTGATATATCTCCTGGGCAGTGCTCCTTTGAGAAACCATGGGTGTGTGCCTCCTACTTCTCCAAGTTTCCCATATGTTATGCTCTTTTGTTTGAATGATTTTTCCATTACTTTTCTGTGTTTCTTTTTGAAATTAATCTCCAGTTCATTGTATGAAACTCTTAGGTTGTATTTGTATTCAATTAATTTACCCTCTAATCTCGCTTTGTTCGCTGCTTTGTCCGCTGACTCGTTGCCTGGTATGCCCATGTGCCCAGGCACCCACCAGATCTCTACCTTTCTGCCTGCTGCTTTGATTCTGCTCATGAGTGATTTGATTTCTAAGATGAATTCGTGAGTTTTTCCACTTAGTTCGACATTTTTCAAGGCTTGTATTGTGCTTAATGAGTCGATGCAAATTAAGGATTTTTGTAGAGTGGAGTTTTTGATGATTCTGAGTGCCTGGGTTATGGCCATTGCTTCCACTTCAAAAATGCAAGCTCTGGAATCCATTTTATATAATTTTTCAATTTTCAAATTGTTGTTCACTATAGCGAGTCCAGCAAACTTCTCGTTTTCTTTTCTGGATCCATCTGTGTAAAATACATTCCATTCCTTCTTGTGTGTTGTTATTTCTTTTTCAAACTCTGTTGCTGGAATTTCTTTTTTCTTTATTTTCTTTCCTATTTCAATCTCGATCTTTACTGGATCCAGTTGGGCTCTTAAAGGATATTCATAACACGGTAAAAGTTCATGTCTTGCTAGTTGTTTGATTTTCTTTTTTCCCTCTTTCCAGATGTTTGATAATAGGGATTCAGAGCACTTTGGGGTTCTTCTTCTTGATTTCACTCTTTCTAAGTAGGCTAATTTCGGGGCGAGGGGGTGTTTTTTGTCAGTATAAGCCCTGGCTAAATATCTGCATGTCAATTTTTCTATTCTCAGCTCCAGCGATGGCTGGCTAGCCAGGTCATGTAGAATGTTGATTGGAGTTGATGGGTATACGCCTAAGACACACCTCAAAGCTGGATTCAGTGCTCTGGCAAGGTTGTCTCTATTTGTTTTAGATGCAGAGGAAGAACATAAACCTGCCCACTCTGCTCTCGCTCTTACTAGAGATTTGAAGACTGATAAGGCTGTTAATGGATGAAGTCCGAAAGCTTTCCTGGTGAGCGTTTTCAGCACTGATGTAGTTGTGTTTATGTTATTTTTGACTTGTTCAGTAAAGGCTTTCCAATTTAATTTTGAGTCTAGGGTTGTGCCTAGAAATTTTACTGTTGAAACCCTTCCAATTTTAGTGCTTCCAATTTTTATGTATGGTTGATCTGGTATTTTTTGTTTTCTTGTAAAAATCATAAATTTGGTTTTTTCGGTAGAGATTTTTAGTCCAAGTTCTCCCACCCAAGTGTTGAGTTTGTTTAGACCGTCGTTCATTTCTTCAATGCATTCTTCCACGTCATTTTTTTTTGAATAAATAATCCAATCGTCAGCAAATTGTTTTGAACTACATTGGCCGATGTTGTGATTAATTTTTCTTACGTATACGTTAAATCGGGCTGGGCTTGAGACACACCCTTGTGGTAGTCCTTTTATGATGGTCTTTTCTTCAATTAGTTCTCCAGAGTCGTAAAATTTCACCTTTCTCTGTCCTATAAGATTGGCTATCACCTTTATTGCTCTTTTGGGTAATCGTAATTCTTCTAAGTTTTTAATGAGTATCTCTGGGCGTACATTGTCGTATGCTCCTTCGATATCAATAAAAGCTGCTCCTACTAATTCTTTTGTTGCAAAAGCGTTTTTTACGTCCGTTGTGAAGATTGCGAGGTTGTCCAAACACGATTTTCCTTTTCGGAATCCGAATTGGGATGTGGGAATCACTAGTTCTGCTTCAAGATAGTATTCAAATCTATTCATGAAAGCTCTCTCGAAAACTTTCATTAAACACGATGCCAGGGATATGGGTCTTAAGCCACTGTTGCCTGGTTTTGGGATTAAACATATGTCAAACGATCTCCATTCCGCTGCTGTCTCTCCTGTTTCCATAATTTGGTTGAAAATATGTGTGAGAATTTTTAATGCTTCGTCTGGTAAGTTTTTAATAATTGCATTGGATATAAGGTCTGGGCTCGCTGCTGAAATCTTTTTCAGTTTGTTGATGATTGTTTTAATTTCTTGGAGCGACATCGGGAACCAAATTTGGTTCAATGCGTTTCTCCCCGCTTCTTCCGATGCTTTTGGTTCTTCATAGCCATCTGATATATCTTCAACTAATTTATTTATGGCTGTGGAGATCTGTTCTTTTCTTTTTTCGTTGGTGGTACCTTTTTGTTGTGTGTCTGCTCCATCGAACTTCCTTATGTTTTAAAAAACAGATTGAAGAGGCATGTTGGTATCTATGGATGTGATGAAGGTGTTAAAATAATTCCTTTTTATTTTCTTTAATTCTTTCTGTGTTTCTAACCGAATTTTTTGATATTCGTCAATGTTTTCTGTTGAATAATCTTGTTTTAATATTTTCAGTGCCTTTGATCTCTTTTCCAGTATGGGGTTACAGGTCTCTTCGTCCCACCATCATTTAGGAGATTTTTTTGTTTCTTTGGGGTGCTGTTTGGATTGTTTTCCTGAATTGTCCTGTTGTTGTTATTTTTGTTTTTATTCTCTTTTCCTCCGCAAGCTTTTACATGTTTTTTAATTGTTTTGCAGAGTTTCGAATATTGGATCAGGTGGTTGTTTTCCTGGAAATTCTCTTTGTTTATTTCCTGTATTATATTTTCTTTGAATTTTTCCCAGTCCGTTTTCCGTGTGTTGAGGCCTCATCGATGAGCCCTGTCCTTTAAAATGACATTGTTCAATACAATTGATCTTATGACGTGGTCGCTGTCCAGGTTCCAGTCTGTAACACCCCAGGTGCATTTTATAGCTAGATCATTGTTAACTATCGTTAGATCCATGACGTCTGTTGTATTGGATGCTTTGTCATATCTTGTGTGTTTGCCATTGTTTAAAATGTGTAGATCAAAATTTGGAATAGATTTCATCAAGTTAATCCCTGATGAGCTCTCTTTGGTACTTTCGTAAGAGTCGTGTTTGGCATTTAAGTCACCTCCGATTATCACGGGGTTATCTTTAGCTATTAATTTAATTTGTTCAAATAGTTTTGTCC